GTATCTTATTTGTGTATCACTCAGCTGCAGATCCTCAAATCATCTCTGAATTGGTGCTGACACTGTCCTTCCTTCTGGAGGGTGGCTACTTGTGTTCCCTATGTTTCCTGTGTGTGTTGTAAAGTAGCCACCGCTCCAAGTTCACTCCTGTGATGGACTACAATCTCATGTTTAGTTTACCAATTTGTATTGAGATTGTAGTCCAGAGCCGTAGCCAGCTCCTTTTTTGCCCGAGGCAAGAACGGAAAATGGTGCCCCCCAACAAACATGTGCAGTATGTGATGCCATGCGCCCCGCCTCCAGGATGACGGCGCGCATACGCAGAATGCGCTGGTTGCCAAATCCAAAACAGCACAAAAATTTGTTTAGTTTGACGAAACTAATGAAAGTTTTTTTTAGTTTCCGCTCATTTTGTCCGAAACAAATTTTTAGTCTTTGCACATGTGTGTGTGGGGGCTTTTTTTTGTATTTTTTTATTATTATTATTCATTTTTTTACTGTTAGGGGGCTTTGGGGAAATATTAGGGGTCTAAACAAACTCCTGACATTTCCATTTTGAAATAGAAAAAGAGATTGAGGACACGGAGTCCTCTGCCCATACAGTCAGGGGAGAGCAGCAGGGATCCGAGGAGAAGCTGGAGCCAGTGCCGCTCCTCTTCTCCCTGCCAAGATGCGGTTGTGTTGGCCGCCTGGCGCCCCTGTACATCCCTATGAAGAACAAAACGCGCATTATCTTATGAACAAAATCGCTAAAGAACCTGCATGAAAACCGCATTAAAACTGTGCAAGAACTGCTATCGCCTAGGTGTAAACTTGCGACCGTACAGTAGAAACGGTCGCACGCCTTCCATACACTGCACGATTCTCGTACGATCGCGGGATTTCCCGCGATTCACGTACGAGAATCGTGCAGTGTATGGGCACCTTTGAACCAAAATGCATATATCAATTTGATTGGAACTGCAGGATCTAGCAGCCATTTTGGGAAACCTTTCATATCCAGTGCTTTTCCCAGAACAGGGGTGATGAAACCTGCAATGCTATGAGAAGACACTGTGGACAGGGGGTAATCTGTGCAGTTGCAACACAAATAACACGTGTCTCTGAGGCCAGGCTCCAGCAGCAATTTTGGGAAGCCCGACATTTCAATAAGCCGCAGTGCTCTCCTGAGGTTTTTTTTTATTACTGTGTGTCCCCATTAGATAAATTTCCCACCACTTCCTGTCCCTGTGTTTCCCAGGGCACTGTTGTGAGAACTTCCTGTTTCCTCTTACTGGCATGTATTCATTATCTTTTCAAATGGAGAATCCAACAGGGAGGCACTGACACTGGTCAATAACTTCTAGTTAATTCTCCAAAGAAATATCGTTTTACAATACATTACAATAAGTACGAAACAGGACGTGCAGCTCACAGTTATGCCATGGATGCTTCTGGTACAGGAACTGAAGAGAAACTTCCCCATGAGAGCAGTGAAATCCTGACAAAGCATCTAAGCCTACACTCTCTACAGAAAAAGTATGGTCTAGTTTGCTCCAACAGAGCCTTCTTGATCCTATAAGGCAATCAGCAATTCCCTAAAACAACAATCTATGGTGTTATGTGTGGAGGTTACACATAACATGAACCTGTTTGTTAAGTGTCATCTGCCATTTTTGGTCCAACCTGTTTAGCAATGCCTATCATCACCTTCCCTACCTTGCAAGCATCAGAGGTTATAAAGCAGTGCTCCTCGAATTGCGTAATGCTGATCACAGGTAATATGCAAGGGTATGCAGGGTAAGGACCATTATCTGTGGCACATACAAACGGCATATACATTGGTGGATTCAAGTGGGAGAAGCACCCTATGCTATGGTTTTATCTGATCCCACCAGGAATATTCATGGAACTGTGCTGCATATGGCACATGTGGAGATGTCAATGGTGATACCAAAGTAAAAAAGAATTTTATGCTGGTAGCAAGGGGGCAGTTCTCGTGGAGCCACCACTAGGAGAATGCTGGGTGTCCAGCCCCATAGTATTCTCATTAATTGGATCCATGTACAGTTTTCTTAGCCCCTTCAACCAGAATGGATAAATAGTTTCCAGAAAGAAAAAAAAAAAAGAGAATGGGCAGTTAGAGATCTGTGTGAGATGAAGTAGAGAAGGAGCAGACCTTATGGCATGGCAGAGCAGAGGAGATAAAAGCAGATTACGTACTGTTTGGGTTACCACAGGTGCTCATTGGAAACTGTGATTGTGTGTTGGATCAGTGGACCACATAACATTCAGAAATGCATTTCTAAAGCTATAAATGTCACAGTTATTGGTTAAAGTGAACATTTTGAGTCTAATTAAAACCCAACTCAAGCCAAACCTTTTTTTTTTTATTTTCACATTTGAATACCATGGGGGAGGGTTGGGAACTCTGTCACAGGAAACCTTCCCAACGCTTCACAGACAGCAATATGAAAATTGTAGATGTAGGAATTGAAGCACCTATTAAAATAGTCCAGACACATTATTATTCCATTAGAGTCAGGTGACATTCAAGAAGAGAAGCCAATGTGTTTAGGGGTCCAGAACACCCTCCCCCCCTTCATCAGGACTCTATATGATTTAATGAAGGGTTGGAATTTTCATTGGCAGCAGTTGTATCTGTACGATTTTAATTGGTGTGGTGCTTCAATCCCTACATCTTCTGTGTTCACTATCGAGCCAAGGATACTGTGGAGATGTTTTGGATTGCGGAAGCTGCCTACCTATTAGCCAGATCACACATACTGTGTTTCCCCGAAAATAAGACACTGTTATATTTTTTTTGCCCCCCAAAAACACACCAGGTCTTATTTTCAGGGGATGTCTTATTTTTTTTATGTGCAACAAAATGTACAACAATCCAAAGTTATTCATGCACAACACAGGTCAACACTGGTTAGTATCTGTAATGCTGATCCCTTTCTTTCACTTTCACAGGTGGAATGCATCTGGTATCACTCCGCCTGTCTCAGTAACCGGCGCTATAGAGGAAGTATCGGCTAATGCGGCTCTGCTCCCTCCACCGCCGCCGCAGCCTTGCTTTCTACAGCACCGGCTTCCTTTGCCATCAGGGACAGCGGTACCAGCGGTGCAGCAGTGGGGACATCAGACAGTGGACAGCGTGGTAAAGTACGGTACCATTTACCGCTACACATTACAGTACAGTACAGTACCATTACATTAAGCAGTGCCTTCAGGGGGACAGCAGTTGGTGAAGTATGGTACTGGAGTGCTCCTGTCACTGCGCTGGCCGGAGGGAGTCCCCTGTCATCCCCTGATACAGTATGTCCCTGCAGGCTGATACCATCACTCCTGCTCATCAAGTTCCCCCTCACATGCTACCACCAAACTAGGTCTTATTTTCGGGGTAGGTCTTATATTACAGGAATCTTGAAAAATAGTGCTAGGTCTAACTTTTGGGGTAGGTCTTATTTTTGGGGAAACACGGTATTCAGATAACTTAGCTACTGGTAGATGAAAAAAAATCATCACACAGGCCCAGCACTATCTTTCCACACTTCCAAACAGCAATACGAAAATTGACAGAAATTCTAACCCTTCCCTATTCTATATAAGATTTAGAATAAAAAATTGGGCAGAGTAGAAATTAAATAAAATGTGGCATCTAATAGCAAGAGGTCTACACATATCATAAATGCCATAGCTTCTTATGTGTGCCCCTCTTCACTTGGATAATTGCAGAAACGTGACTGCAGCACCATCCGCAGTTATTCCAAGCACCCCTCCCCGATCACTGGGTCATACCGGTAAGGAATGCAACTAGCCTTTTCTTTTTTCCTCTTCACTTGGAGCCTACTCAGGATTTGTATATAAGTTCAGATGGGTGGGGAACTTGCATGCAAATTTCAAGTTGGCTTCAAGTCAGTTCCCTGCTCTACACTGCCTGCATCCCACAATGCCTCATTAGGGATTGCTGAGGCATGCACATAGCATTCTTCTGTCAATCCCTTTCATACATAGGGCTCATTGTTTTTTTGGTTTCACCACATCCCAGCAAAGAAACAAGAGACGGTTATAATAATTCTTAATTTTATTACAGGTTCATTTTCACTTGAGTGATTACAAACATATTTCTGACAAATATATATTATCTTCAAAATAATACAAAAAAAGATAAATATTACATATATAAAATTTGTTTGGTAAATAAATAGGACATAAATAGATACGTATATGTGTTAGCAGTAAACGCTTTGGATTACAACAATCAAGGTATTAATTACTACCAGATTCTTTTTTTTTTTCTTCTTTTATGACATTTTCGCATAATCCACTTGATTTTTACTCCTTGACTGCCAGGCTGCATGACGCAGTCACTCATTGAGGTAAGAAGGCACGTTGTAGGGAAGTACTTAATGCATTGCAAGGGTGTCATAATACAAATATCAGAGATTGATAAAAAAATATATATATATAACTGCATAAAGCAGCACGTGATTTACCTGTATTGTGCACTGTGGGAATTAAAGCAGCCAATCAGGCATTTGCACACTTATTAAAAGCAAAGTACAGCTAGTGATCAGTACAAAGTTATCAATAAGACTGTAATCTTTCACTGATTTGACTTAAATCAGCTGCAGTTTGATTGGTTGCTATGAGCTTTTGCATTTTGCTATGAATTGGTGTCTTTGCAAATTACAGTAGCTGATTGGTCCAGTATACAACACGTTTCTATGGCAAGGTTCTGAAACAATACTTAATCTTACTTATTAACTGTGTATCAAGCCAAAACCATTCAACACAAACGAATCAAACAGCCTGATGTCTCCCAGCGACATGCAAGGTCAACAAAATGTAAAGAATACTTATAAATATTTATAAAAATCTGTGTATCCTTAATAAAAAATCATATATAACAATTGGCCAATACACAGTTATTAAATATGTAACTTTGTTTCAGAAGATTTTGTTTTTTTTTGTTTTTTTAATTGCTGGTGTGAGAAGGAGCTGTAGCTTTCCTGGTTTGCTTCTGAATATCAGGCAACTTGGAGGTCTGGGCACTTATTTAGTAACATGGTAGCAAAATATTTGCTGTATCAAATCACCCAGCAGGCTGGCTGACTGCTACAGGGCCCGGTGCCACATTATGAAACAAGCCAATAAGTGTCTGAATCTACATTATACACAGTGTAGTGTATATAACCCAAGTAGTAGTGTATCTGTAGCCTACAGAATGATATTGTGGTGTTGTATTATAACACTGCAATGCATTGCAGCACTTTCAAAAACATGAACATTTAAAAGTTATTGCAGGAGTTCACAGGGGTATAAATTCAGGTTTTTCACAACCAGGATACTGGTCCACGCTGGTCCCATTCTGACAAGTTTAGGTCCAGCCCAAACTAGGGGCTTGAGACTAGGGGCAGTAAACATGCTAAATACCTTGATCTGCTACATGAGTCGGGACTTCTTGTACAATAACACAGTAGAGGGAAGCCCTTAGACAATATAATGGACCTGTTAGCTATGGAACCTTGCAGGTGCCATCTCTGAATAGTTTAACAACAGATATTGGTTTGGATGAGGGGAGAAAGGATCATTTGTGCAAAAAGTTATGGCCTTTGAAGCTACTGTGAAGCCTTCAACTGAGACCACTTAGTCCTGAGAATCCATATAAGGCACTTGGAAAAGAGTCTTGAGATTGTTCTCTTCTCTGGAGGTGGAGGAAATTCACAGAATGCCTTGTTTCTTTTTAAAGACTCAACTATTGTGCTGGTCTGATCACCAGGTTGAAATAAGAAAGGTTGATCGAAGCTTTTTCTTCCCCTGCTTGCCTTCCTCAATCAGAGACGGACAGCCTGTGGAAGATTGGCAATCTCTTGGTGGAAGTAATTTGACTTGACACCTCGAAGACGGGAGACTCTGATCCACTGCTATAGCACTCATTCTCGGTGAGAGAATTGGAGGAAGGTGTGCGGAAGAGCACAGAGTTTGCGAAGGGATCTTGAGGAAGGGTCCCAGCTCTTGAGCACCGACATGAGCAACAGCGAGAGCATGAGTCCATTCCTTTGAGGGTGGAAACGTGGCTTCTGGTCTCATGAGGAGCAGGAGAGAAAAGCATGTCTGTTGAAGGTGGTGGAGATACTGAAGAAGCTCTGGTGAATGAAGCAGGATCTGGGAAGCCTGGTGGTGGAGGTGACCCTCTTCTCACTGGTACACCAGTATAGCTGAGGCTTTGGCGCAGGACTTGCTGGTGTGTACTTCCATGCTCAGCTGGGTGGTGGATGAAGTTGCAGCGAGACCCATATGGACACTCTCCGTACAAGTAGAACTTGTGGCAGTACTCTGTCTTGTACTTTGGGTGACGATTTGGCTCTCTCAGCTCCTGCTGTCCATGGGCAAACTGGCATTTGGAACCATACTTGCAGGTCCCCGTTTCAGAAAAGGTGCGACATAGCTCAGTCTTGTAACGAGGTGAAGGAGCAGGTAGAGCAGGCAGGGGTACCTTCAGTGGTGGGAACCCAGGTGGTGGAGGTAGTGCAGACCGGGTTCCTTCCGTAAGGCTAACTGACCGATCTGCTCTGAAGGGAGCACGAGGCGGGTCACAACTCCAAGGATCGCGAGAACCCCAGCGAGTTTCATCATACAGTTCAGGGGCACAAGAGTGTCTTCTCTGAGGACTGTTGAAGCCGTGGTCATTGGCAGTGTCAAAGTCTTCTGAGAGGCTTAAATTTTTCAGGTTCTGTAGGTCAAACAAAGCACTAGATTTAGAAGAAGGCCTAAACATATCAGCAAAAACATTACCCAAAGTTTTGAAAAATAAGAACTCTAACTTTCATACATTGTTGCGCAGAATGCTTCATAGTCAAACGTTTTTGTTACACCATGTTCCTGAGTCAAAGGTCACATATAGAAGAACCAGCAACTTCCTCCAGAGGAAGAACAGATGGCTGTGTGCAAATATAAAGCATGCATCTGTTCTAATGCGGAAATAGTTATGTTTGGGTTGAAGATATGAAAGCACTTAAGATATCGGAGAGCCACAATTTGGGTGGGAACTCAAAAACAGGAAGCCACAAGATCAGAGGCTTTTCATAGTTTTTACTAAGGAAAAAAGTGCCCTCTGAATGTTTTCTCACTATGACTGATATGCTGGATCAAGAGTAGAGCAAAAGGCAGATGTTTGATGGGTTGCCGATCCAGTATTTGCAGTTTAGGCTCCAAAGTGTGATATTTTACTGGCTCAAAGCAAAATAGGATTGTTGACTCATTTAGGTGTTGGCTTTCATCTTCTTTCAATCCAGATTTCTCAGGTCAGGGTTATTATCAATACACAGAACAAATAAAACTGGCCAAAGAGAAAGGAGAACAAGAAAAAGTATAGCAAAGGGTCAGTGAAAAATACAAGGCCTGGGTGAAAAGTTGATGCAAAAAAACAAGAAGCAAAAGGACTGCGTAAGTTGCGTAATGCCTGCCAGTCGTTTGAGAACTAACCTCAGCAAGTTATTTGGCCGGTTTGAATGTCTATTGCGACATTCTGCACCGTGAAGGTTAACTCCCATGAGATAACAAGCAGTTACTAGCATTGAAAGGGCTTGTTATCCCTAAAAAAAGATTTTGCAATGGCTTGTAAAACATTGCAACTGATGATCTCTTTAGGAAGGAAACAGAACAATCTTGCTGTGCATGGAAGATTCAGTAAAGAAAAAAAAACTGTGGGAGATCATCTCTTACCCCTGACATTCCTTGTCAGAAACCTGTAGTCCAAGAAAACATAAAAAAGCTGACCATGCATGTTGAAATCTGATTGTAGAACCCCCATTAGATCCAGCAACAACCATACACAGCAAAAGTCTGGGCGATTCGATACCGACAAAATGGATGGGTTAAGTAGACCCCAATGTTGATTAGTTATTTGTTTTTTTTACTTTAATAAATATAAAGAAGACTCTATAGAGATTGTACAATCAGATTGTAATGGGTATGTCCAGCTGTAGTAACATGTGATAACAAGAACGTTTAAGATCCATAGTAACATGTAAAGGTACAATGCCTATAGAAGGTACTGAGTCCAAATGGCAAGTACTGAGTGACGTGTAGGAACAGAGTGACAGACAGAGGCAGGAAGATGCAGTGGGCTACTAAGGTACATAGGTATAGAACTTGATTGATAGTACAGTGGAAGATGTGGGTGACAAATGGAACAAGAACAAAGGGACTGAGGTACTCAGTCTGACTGGGAGCAACAAAATGTCACTGGATTGAAGTTGTTTTGGTTCGGTTGTGCAATACAGATCTGAGCTGTAATGTCACCTGGCTGTGAACACAAACAGTTGCCTGGTGACGGACTGTAAGCCTTTAATACCAGAGAACTGCTATAACAAAGGGACACAATATATCCCTAGCCCCTTTCCCTGTATAACACAGTTGTTAAACTCTCCTGAACCAAAGGAGCGGTGTGTACAGGGAACATTGGATCAGCAGCTCTGGTAGGTTCCAAAAGAAGTCTAAGGTGTTAAAAATGAACTCATGTCTCAAGTCTTAGTTGTTGGCTGTCCTTGGCTAGGCATCAGATTTATGCCCCCATTGGAATATGACAGCGGGAATCTGACAATCTGCATTTGATTGAGTGCTCTAGGTCAAGACAGACAGATTCTATTTCAGGCAGTTTCATAAATGAGGTCAATCGTCTTTAAATAACAAATTACATATTGAAAAAAAAAATGGGACTTACCGAAAACCCATGGCTGCCAAAATTTATTTTTGTCCCACCCAGCCCTAATTGCTTATCTCTTTCCCCATTGGGTGTCACCTTCCTGCCCTCTCTGCCTCCAGATTCCTAACAGTCTACCAAATGTACAAAGTTACCTTTTCTGACACATGGTAAAGGGGTCCCACCCTGCTCAATCTCCTCTCACTAATCAGGCTGGAGTTGACAGTTCTACCATAAAGCAGTAAAGTTCTATAAAATGTATCAAAAAGTATCTTTAAGTATCCTGAAGAATGTGTACACAAAAATGTAAAAGCCTACAACAGAAAACATATTTGTGTTTGCCAAAATAAAAACAAAAACAATTCAGCCCCTCATGAATCACTCAAGCCGGTCTTACCTGATAAATAGTGCGAATATCCAAGATCGTGGACATTTTGTTCAGAACTAAGTGCCTGCTTCTCCGCCTAGTAATTCCTTTGAGCAGTCAGTGCTGTTCTACTGAGCTATCTGTTTAGGATTATATACTGTATACTGCAAGCCACTCCTTCCATTGCTGTCATCTATAACGTCATCCCCTTAGGGTGAAGTCCACAGAAAGGAGGGGAGGGGTAGTGTTTGCTAATCTCTGTCAAGCTAGGAAAACAAGTCAGTCTCCAGCCAAGTGTAAGAAAGGGGAGGAGTAAAAAACTGATGGAGAGGAAAGGAGAAATAGAGAGTTTTTTGAAGGTGGTGAAAAGGGAGAGACAGGGGAGGAGAAAAAAAAATAAGCAGAGGAGAGGAGGGAGAGGTAAAAACTGAAGGGAGGATGAGTGCGGAAAGGGCAAAGAGGAGGAGAGTGGAACACGTTAAGAGGAGAAATATATGGAAAAGAGGAGACGAGAGGAGATGGGAAAGAGTGGAGAGGAAGAGAGAGAAGGAGAAAGAAAAGAGGTTAGAGGAAAGGGCAAAGAGAAAGACATTCAGGAGAAAGGAGAGGAAAGGGGGAAGAAGAGATGAGGGGAAGAGAGGCAAGGGGAAAGAGCAGGCAAGGGAAGAGGAAGGGAAAGAAGGCAGGAAGAGAGAAGAGAGGACTAGAAGAGAGGAAAGGAAAGGATAAAGAGGAGAACAGAGGAGAGGTGAGATGGTTAGAGAGAGGAGAGAAGAGAATAGCAGAGAGCAAGGGAAGAAGAAGAAGAAAAGATAGAAGAGGTGTCAATAGGTGAGAAGGGCAAAGAGAGGATAAGTTTGGAATAAGAAGAAGAAATACTAGAGAGAAGAAAAAGATGAGGTGAGAGAAAAGTGCAAAGAGGTTGAGAGAGAAAAAGGGGGAAAATGGAGTAAAGAGAGAATGTGAAGGGAGAGGAGCAGAAGAGATGAGAGGAAATGGTAAAGAGGAGATGGAAAAATGTCACAAAATATAAAGAACAGGACAGTGGAGGAAAGGGAGGCATAGAGAATGGGAAGATGAGAAGTCCCTCATTAAGTGGACAGAGTGTTAAAAATGAGAGAAGTAAACTAAAGCTGAAGAGAAGACTAAATTCAGACATTAATCCCACAGGAATACTTTTCACGGTGACTTTCCAACTTTACGAGAGAACAAATTCTGAAGAACTTGCACAGAACAGTTCTTCATCTGAAATATACTGTATGTACGAGGGAATAAAATCTGATAAGATTGTGTGGAAAGGACGCATAGTCACCTTCCTGAATCTTTCCCGCTCCTGGAACAAAAACTAAAGATATTAAGGAGAAGGGAAAAGACAGAAACATTGAGAGAAGCTGAGGAGAAAGGGGGGAACTGTGGAGGAAGAAAGAAACAGATAGGCAGAAATAGATCTCCAATTAACATTCAGGCCACTTTAAATGCCCCGTCAGTTAAATGTACCAGAACATTGGTGCTGGCTGGACGAAAAGACTTGTCCAAGTTCCATGAATATATTCCTGACATGAAGAAAGTGCAGTCACACACCATGGGTACCCAGAATTAAAATGAAACATTCATCCAAGTGAATATCTCCCCATACTTGCAGGATCTGCTTGGGCATTGGGACTACTCAGGATGCCCTCCTTGTGCTGGCACAGAGTTGGATCATCCATAAGGAAACGTAAATGTCCAATGGGCCCAGCTACAACTTCATGCTCCTGCCATAAACTAGTGCAGTTAGTCAAGGCTGTACACTGCCTGTCACTTTACATGGGAGGATGCACTTGTAGGCAGTCGGTGTTTAAAGTGGCCATGCAGGGAAAGACAATACAAATGTGATGGCTTCTGTGTCTACTGCAGTTGTTATCAATGTTAACCAAAGGGTTTAGGCCTAGGGCCCCATTCTGCCCAGTCCATGCTGACAGAAGAGCACTTTTGATACTTTTGATCTTTCACTCTTCCACAATATTTGCGAATTGGAAACTGCTCAAAGGGAAATTTCCAGCAGATAAGGATAGCATCAAATACATGTGAAAAGAAGCCGTGAACAACTCAGAAAGCAATGCAATGGATTGTAAGCATTTAGGGACCTTTATCGTGTGCCAGCAACCCATATTAAACCTAAGACACTCGTTACTGCCTTCTATCAGACAAGAAACGGCCCAAAAATGCTCCCTATCAGTTGCATCAGTTTATTAGTGTTCATGGCTCCTTTCCACGTGCATTCAAGGTTATCCTTATCTGCTTAGCTGAAATAGCCCATCCTCTACAGAGCTCAAAAGCTCAAGCTGAAATGGTCAACCTGTTAAATAAATGACTCCTCCCCTTTTCTAAATTAAAGTAAATAGCTTCTGCAGTGCACTGTCCTTAAAAAAAGCATAATGCCTTATAAATACAGCATCATGGTGCACCCTGTATTTAATGTTTATCTGTAAAGCAAAGATTTTATAGGAATAGTAGGAACAAAAACAGATATAAAAACATCAGTTTGCAAGAAAAAATTAATAAAATAAAATTATCTAAAACCATTATTGCTTCCATTTAATATTAGAAAAAGAGATAGATTCAAATAAGGTTACAAAAAGATTTAAATAGAAAAGCAAAAAAAAAAAAAAGTATTAAGCAGAAATGTTGTGTTTATTCACGCTAAAGCCATCCATGTGACCGTGTGCTTATCAGGAAAATGCATACACTGTCCGCACCGTGAACCACATCTAATTAATCTCTATGGTGACCACATGATTGCTGTACATGATTACAGTCACGAAAGTGCAAAACTCCACGGTAGGTTAGAACATGGCTGTGAGATAGGAAGATTGATTAGATGTGGTTCATAGTGCAGTCAACAGGGCCCCTTGATCATTGTGTCTGCAATCAGAACTGTCTGTGCTGCCTTGCGGCAGCCAAGCAGATTAAATAATGTTCTGATAAAACAATTGATGGAGATTTATAACAGAATTCGATGGAAATGGGACTCAGTATAACGTCTGATGCACTTTGCATTCATGAATTTTGACTAGGTGATTTGTCTAGCCTTTTAAATATTAACAAGGAGATAACGTTAGTTACACTTTAAACATTAACCCAACTTGCAGCTGGAAATTTGTAAATTGTATGGGCATTTACCTGATGAATTAAGGAGTAAACAAGTCATTTTGTCTATACAATGGCAAAAACGGTGCCCTGCTTTTGTCCTCTAGTCAGGACAAAGTGACAGCGTCTCCTGATAGTCTTACACCCCCCCACTCACCAATCTACACCCCTTGCCACCTCCCTGCTGCCAACATCCCTGGATTAACGCTGTTGTCGGATGGTGTCAGAGGGTGTTTGAGCTTACCAGGTTGGATGGCATCACTGCTACCCTCTTCCCAACGTGACAGTGTTTGGGCCTGACAAAAGCATGGTCACATGGGGCAGGTCAGACTTCATACCCAGAAGCCCCGCTCTGTTAGGAGGTTTCCGATTGAGCAGATGGCAACGGTGCATGGATCGATGAGTATACCTTGTTGGGGTGGTGTGACCTAAGTGGGAAAAGTGAAAATGTCCCTTTAAGTCAGGGATGGCCAAACTCCGGCCCTCCAGCTGTGGTGAAACTACAAATCCCATGAAGCATCTCTCTTCGGGAGTCATGTCTGTGGCTGTGAGAATCTTGCAAAGCCTCATGGGATTCGTAGTTCCACCACAGGTGGAGGGCCACAGTTTGGCCATCCCTGCTTTAAGTAAACCTAATCACTAAATCCCAGGTGATCCTGCTATGATGGCCCTTGTCTTGTTCATTTCCTGTTATTAGGTGACATTACTCTGTTTCCGCCTCCTCATTGCACTCCTGCATTGTCACCCTATCACACAGGCTTCTGATAGAGACACAGACATGGTACACTTTTGTTACCATATGGAAACCTGCTAAAAAATTCAATGCAGCCATTGCTAGACATGTAGACAAGACGAGGAAGCAAAGAGGCTGCAGGAGATCAACAGCACTTAATGCAATACAATGATAAAAATGTGTTTTTTATTGAACTGTAGGGCAATTGTTTATGATACACAGTAATTTAGAAAGCTGAATGTGATTTGGGGTTTACATCTGCTTTAAAACTGAACTTTTCACAGCTCACCTCACAGTAACGGAATTAACTTTAGAGTGGAACCATGTACTAGATCAGGGTAATAGAATGACATCTGGAATGGACTCAATCCTATGTTCTAGGTCAGGGTAACAGAATAACCCACCCATTCTCAGACATGGGCTAGGCTTCCTCCAGAGGTGTCTATGGGTTCCTTGAGCAGTGTCTGATTAACCCCCTCCCCCCTCCCCCCAATTGATGGTGCCTACATACATCTGGAGCCAATGCCACTTGGCAGAGCCAGCGGCATGGCACCAGCCATGTTGTCTATGGGTGGTATTTGGACCGCCACTGCAAGGTAGGCATTCTTCCAACTGACCACGAATGTATGGGGCCAATGTATGGGGCATTTTCCCCACTGGGGTTAGCAGGAGTTCTCTGTCAGCTGGAAATCATTTTAAGGGTTCCTTTGGGGTAAAATGTTGAGAAAGGCTTTAATGATCTCTGAAGTGGAGTCAGTCCTACATGCAGCCTCAAGGTCGCTGAGACTAGAATCTATGTGGCTACTTCACCCTTCTGCTATTTTGTGACCAAATATTTAGGTGAAGGGAACTTTTAAGAAAAAAAATGGGAGCTGCCATTGCTGATTTGTTTTTGAAGACAAACAAATATATTCTATATGCAGCTGATGGGTCAGCAGTGCATGTGTGATGATGGCCTCATTCTCTTTTCACAAAGAGAGCAATATGCATCTACTAGATTTTCCAACAAGTTTAACATTTTGTGTGAGTGTCAAGCATAACCAATGATTGGAAGATCCCCTTTTTCACCCTCTAGGGGAGCGTTTCTCAACCTTTCTTTAGTCGCCGCACCCTATAAAAGTATGCAAAATCTTGAGGCACCACAGTCTAAAACATAAAAAACACAAATGTATAGTTGCTCCTCCAAAATCCATAGCGGCCCCCTATCCCAGATAGAGGTCTGGTATGGATTTTCAGTGGAGACCCCATGCAAAAGCACACAAAAAAAATGAGGTTCTCATGACA